GTAATTGTTGTTTTTTATAAATTGTATATGGCTTGCTTTTATAGCTAGTATATGGTTGCTGAATTTATGTCGTATAATATCATTTTATTTTCGAAGGGTTCAAATCATATGTGCAAAAATTGTTTTGAGGAATACTAAATTGGTGTAGAGCGTAGTTTATTATTATTTGGATATTTTACAATGTGTTTATCAAAAAAGTTAGTTCATAATCACTTAAAATCAGTTTTGAATAGTTTCTTTCGATAATGCGTGATCTGTAAGATACAGCACAACTTTCTTTATTACTGGTATTATGCTCTTTGCTCTCTAACTTAAATTAGACACGTTTTCTCGTGTGCTTCGGTGATCTTGATAAACAAACGGCTTTTTGCACCGTCTTATCAAGTTGTACTACGAATGTATATAATCAATTTCTGTGTCCACCAATGGTGGACCGCTTCTCTCAATTGGATGGCTAATTGCGAATTTCTGTTAGACTTTTGTGGATAGTTGTCTAGTCGCTGTCTCTGCCGTCCAAAGTAGATAAGACATTTGGCAAAACCGCCATGAAACGGTACATCGTTTTTTTTCACACTTTCTCCTTATTAATATTACTCAATATGACACGTTTGTCTTGCAATCAGTGCGCTTCTAAAATATTTTTTGAAATTATATGTATATACGTATATACGCATATTTGAATATCTATCCTTCTATCTATATATCTATATCTATCTTATATAAAAATTCTTCTGTAATGATGTATGAAAGGATACTCCTTCTAAACGATTTGTTAAAGATAAAATGATAACAATCATTTGTTAAAGAATACGGCGTAACTTCTAATCGTGCGATGGTGCAGTGTGTGGTGTGCAATTCATTGTGTTGGTGTGAGTGGTTGGTTATGTGTTGTATCTTTTACCTTGCAAGTCGGTATGAAGACTTCTTCTCGAATGATATTAGCTTCAAAGGAAGTCATGCGAAAGCAGTTATTGTATTCAAGGATGTGTTGAAGAAAATGGCTGGAAACGGGACCACTTCCATCGAACAATGATTTTAGTGGCGGTGGTGGTGTAAGTAAGTAATTGATCCAGTTTGACTTTTCCACTTGCGCAGCACAATCCAGCCGTTTCTCTTTTGAACTTTAACGCATTGCAATATCGGCTTATAGTCGTCATTGGTCCATTATCAAAATTTTCATCATCACTGTAGTTCACAGTGGGATCATATTGGAATGCCAAGCGATTGTATGATGCCAATGATCTCCGTGTGGTCACACGTTGTTTCAATCGGGCATTTTCTCTTAATATATTTTGTCTTTCTTTGCTTAAATTCTGTGAATACACTTGTTGCTGGCTTGCATATCTTGTGCGGCGGCCGATGTTTGCACGTCGTCCTCTAGGCATTTTGGAGTATAGACAGAGTGGTGAATTTATCCTCAAACTATACACATAATATACACAGTTTAACTTACCACCTTAAAGACATATGCCTGCTGTTGAAATTGAATAAAAATTTGCACAATACACGTGATTGATTTGATGGTTTCCAATTGAAATGTTAAGAAACAAATAACTTATTTTTTTTTACTTTTTTCACAATTTCACAGTGAACACAATACCTTTTTGTCACATGATATTAGCTGGGCAGAGAACAATGAGTAGCTGTCAAACAAATGAGTAGCAGTCAAACAACGTATCACTCACCGGCGTCATCTACTTAAAATATTATGTATGTGAAAAAAGATTTTCCTTCTTTTCTGTTGAAGTTTTTCTTCAATTTTTGTTGCTATAAACCTTACGAAGCCCGAGACCTTTCTAACGAATGCAAAACCGTCGAAATCGGTTCGTGCGTTCTGGAGTTATAGCGTCAGGAAGGAAAACCCTACTTATTTTTATATATGTACTAGCAAACCTGGCGTACTCCGTTTCGCCACCATATGGTTTCGTGAGAGAGATGAAGAATTTTTTTTTGTTTTATATTTGAAAAGAGTAAAACTTGAACTTCTCTAAGTAAATGAAAGTGAATCCAAAGTAAATACTGAATGGAAGAGTTATACGTGTCTGCAAATTATCCTTTTCATTGAAGTGCTCTTTGGTAAACCACATTTTTTGTTTTTTGGTCTGGCGTTAACACAAACAATGCGGATGTTTTCCCAACTCGTGAACACGCAACATATAACTGCCCATGTGAAAAACAATGATTTTCTAAATTTATTCCGCAAACACTAAGCGATTTTCTATGCGACTTGTCAATTGCCATTGCGAACGCAAGGCGAACTGGAAATTGCAATTGTTTGAAGTCAAACGGAAGAACAGCCGGAATCATTGGTATTCGAGGAATACATACATTTTCAAGTGCGTACTTTCCGTTAATAATTCAAATTACGCAATATCATAATAACTGTACCTACTCTGAGTTGCAAGTTACGTGGTGGAAGTATCCCCGCCTGTCACGCGAGAGACCGGGGTTCGATTTCCCACCGTGGAGTACTTTTATTTATTTTATTAATAATAATTATAAATCTTTATAAATCATCACACATAATTATGTATCTTTTTTATTACTGCAAATTCAAGCGCGTGTCCTCTGTTGGAGATTGGGGTTCGATTTTCCGCCGGGGAGTACCTCTGTACTCATGTATAAATTTGTTTATTATAATATACTAATATTTACCGTTTACTTAAAAATAATAATTATTGTTTTTTAAATTACTCTTCACGCCAAAATGCATATACATTTATAATATGAGCGATGTTAAATGTAGAACTGCTTTAAATAAAATGATTAGTCTCAATTATCACACTATTTTGGAAATTGAAGTCTTTTAAACGGTATAACATAACCGTTTAATGGATTAAATTAATTTAATTTTTTATTATTTAAGATATCAAATATTGCATCTTAAACTTCTTCTAATCGATATCGTGAGGGCCGAATTGTATGCATTCATCTTTACTTTCCCATTTGTTGTTTTAAAGTGAAATTTTTACAAATTTTAAAAATATTGTGGAAAGATTAGTAGAAGATGCAAAGAAATTATATATTGAACAAAAAAACTATATTGAAAATTTAATATCCGAATCTTGTGTTGGCGCCCCTAAGGTGTGCGCTCGTATTTTCCGCATTAAAGGTAGAACCTGATTAATACTCAATTTCATATTTTAAGTGAATTTATTTGTCATATCCTGTTTATATGCGTATCATTCAATCTGCCAAACATCATATACTGTATTTTATATTATTTTAATTTCTGGCTAATCTCAGCTGTTTTTTGGCAATAATAATGTAGACATTTCATTTTTCTAATCCATAATCATACATTTATTATACATATTCTAAAATTGTCTAGGTTCATAAGTAAATTGAAATTTTTGGTAGATGATAGTTTTCATTTGTTTTCAATGCAAACAATGACATGCCGTTTTTCACATTTTTTTGCATTTATTTCTACGATATTGCACATACATTCCAGTACTTTATAATCACATACATCCTAGAAATTTTTCTTAACAAACTTCAGAAAGATTTATCAAAATCCGCATATTCGTTTAGAAGGAGTATAAGGTGAGTGCTTGTAATTTAATAATCTTTCGTTAATCCGCACTTGCAAATCATTTCTTGCAAAAAATCATTTCTTGAAAAAATTTTGGCTCTTGAAAAATCAATATTTAAATTGAAAAAAACTAATACTGATCAAGAATCTACTATTGGCGGTCTCAGATTGATATGTGAAGAGCACCAATTATAAATTAAGGACTTAAGCGATGAATTTATGGAATACAAAAAAGATAATAATAACAACACTGAAAGCGAGAGAAACCATGAATTACATGATCTTAATGGAAAAATGTTTGAAATGGAGAAAGAAATTTCGGAGTATCAACACAAAATTAAAAATCTAAACGAATCTATAACTAATCTCAGTTTGAAAAATAATAACGTTAGTGGTGAATTGGCTTAATTAAAATTAATCTACAAAAATATAATAGACAGGCAAAACCCAGTTAACCAAACGCAATCCGAGTCAAATGCAACAACAACTAGCATTCACATCGCTCACAACAGAACGGCATTGGATAGAAATGTATCAATGGATTATGCTACAAGAACGATTAAACCGAACATTTTTGTTTATGCTGATCAATAGGGCCAGGGTCTACTTTCGAAAGTCAAACATGATAGCTTTCATAAGTATAATTTGAGACTAACTACAAAACCTGGTGCAAAACTGGACTCGCTTCTAGAAAAATCCCATAATTCTTTTTCTGAAAATGACTTTGTTGTCATAATTGGAGGATCCAATGATACTAATCCGTGTGAAGCATCAATGAATATTTTAAATTTTGTTACTAATTGCAAGGCCCAAATAATAATTTTTCCAACGTTATATAATAATTTTTTAAATTGTAAGTTACTTAACAATCATCTAAAACTATCGTTAAGAATAACTAAATGTATTTTAGTTACTAATTTTAATTATTATAAAAACTATCTTCAATTTATCGCAGAACAAATACTTTACGAAGTCAATTTGAATGTTTACAAAAAATCTTTTCTACATTATAATTTTCGACATACTTCTCCGAAAAGAGATAAATTTCATAGCAATGGGTCTAAACACAGAGAAAAAAATCATCATATTAATAACACATTACTTTACTGAAACAATAGAGACTTTAATGTATACAACATCACTCAATCTACCAGTCAGTCAAAAATCACTGATTTTTTCTCAGTCAAGAAAATAGTTCCTACCAATATCCCACCTCTTCCAGTTTTGGCTAATACTGCTTCACAAATAATAACCAACTCATCACATAACTTTCGTTTCATCTAAATCAAATTTTGGCATACTTTTTCAAAATATTCAAAACCTATCTAATAAGTTAAATAAAATCGATATTGTATTGCAAGATGTTAAAGCCTCTGTTGTCTGTTTTGCCGAGCATTGGCTTAAAGAGACTGAACTCAAATTGATAAAAATAAATGGTTATAAGCTTTGCTCATACTTCTGTAGA